TCCACTTTCTAGCTCTACAGATCTACCTCTTCTGGAGATTCTGTATGTACAGGAATTATGCAGTAGGTGGCCTTTTGTGTTAGAATCAGGTTTGTGAGTAGTTCCTGTCCTTCTATCAAAGCTGCCCTCCCTGGTAGCTATGCATCTGCCTGGAGGGGTAGGGCAGGTGTCCTGAACATGGAGAAAAGCTGAGGGTGGGAAGAAGGCTGCCCAGGCATCTGCAGGTGGGCGAGGGAGCTCCAGAGAGGCGGCAGGAGAGAGGTGGTCCACACTCTTGCAGAGCCCGGTGGCCACATCTAAGGTTCATTTTTTACCCAATGCCCTTTATGGTTCTCAGGCCTTCAGTAAAGTCTGTTTCACATCACAGCCTGCTATTGGCTGTCCTCTAGGGAATAAAGGGCCGGGGTCTCCCATTTGTGGTGAAGCTGGGCAGGGTAGAGGCGGAGTGGTCATCACTGTCCAGCTGGTGGCTCCACTTTCAAAAGCTTTCAGCTCCCCAAAATTGTCCTCCTCTCTCCGGAAGTCTTGAAGGTACAGTAGAGTCAAACTTGTCATTATACTTGTGTGTGTTGCCTACTTATCACGAGTTCTTTAAGTAGAGCACTCTCTCCCAGCAGGAAGGAGAATACCAACATGGCCATTTGAGGGTTCACTTCCTACAGAACAGATTCATGCCCACAGGTGACAGAGGACAAGGACCAAGAGGGTCTTCCGTGAAGAGAGGAGGAAAGATGACCCCAGCATCCCACTTTTCCAAGAGCCCAGGCCATTTGCAATGTGATGGAGCCAATTCCCCACTGCTCAGATCTGAGTGAGCCTTGTGACTTGCTCTGGATGATAAATGCAGTGAAAGTGACCCTGCGCATTTTGAATTAATGCCTTACTAGAAGTCTTAGACACTTCCACTTGTATTCTTGGACTTCCCCTCTGAACCCTCTTCTTGACCAGTTCAGCAAGAATCCTGCCAAGCCAGTTTAGCAAGAATGCCCGCTCCCTCCACTTGGTACCTGACCGAGTTTCCTCTTGGTATTTTTCCATCCACTGACTCCCTTGCCCTGCCCATTGGCTGTAAATCCCCAGCTGCTTCCATTGTATACTGAGTTGCATTCAGTCTTTATCTCCTATTATCTCAAGTTGTCTTGACTCATATTGCAATAGTCTTAAATTAAATTTTTCTTGCCTGTTTAACTCTCCCCGATGCATATTTTCATTGACTACTTCCACTGTGAGGATTAGTCTGGACAACCTGTTGGAGAATGAGAGACCATGTGGAACAGAAGTAAGTCCTCCCAGCTGAGGCCATTCTAGACCACCCACCCTCAGGTAACTGCAGTCACATTAACAAACCAGGTCAAGATAATTTGGACCCCGAGGCTCTTGAGAAAGAGTAAATGTCCCATAGTTCACTCCACAATGATCTACAGTGAATTGATTTGCAGCAATATGGCTCAGATGATAAAGAATCTGCCTGTAATGCAGGAAAATTGGGTTTGATCCCTGGGATCAGGAAGATCCCCTGGAGAAGGAAATGGCAATCCATTCCAGTATTCTTGCTTGGAGAATTCCGTGGACAGAAGAGGAGCCTGGCAGGCTATAGTCCATGAGGTTGCAAAGAGTCTGACATGATTGAATGACTAACACTGTCACAGAGAAGAAAAGCAGAGCAGAAGGACCTTTAAAAAGAGCCTCTGCCCTGCGCACCGTGGATCCTGCAGGGTGTTATGGCTCCCGTGGCAATTAGTGAGGGGGCAAACCTGTGTTTTTGGCCACCGTTCCCGGAAAGGAGGGAACAGAGCTGCAGCTGACTGCATGGGTATTGCAGCCACTGGGCACAACAGAGAAGGGAGGCAGGGAGGTGCCTCGGGCAGGAAGGGACCGGCTTGCGCTATGGCTGCTCCCCTGGGATGTGCCAGCTGGGAAGCACTCAAGCTCTATATTTCAAACCCCTTCAAGTGAAGGCACTGGGACTGAGTTGTTGACAGCAGGCGAAGAAGTCTGCATCATTAGCAGCAGAGCCTCAGGTTGGTGTCACCTCTTGAATGCTCTCCTCCCAGTCTGCCCCTCCCCGCGCCTGGACCTACTGTTCTCCACACAGCTCCTCTCACCTCCTCAGCCCTTTCTTCTTTTTTATTTTGGCCAAACATGGTAAAAGATACATAAGATAAAATCTTATCATTTTAACCATTTGTAAGTGTACAGTTAGGTACATTCACAGTGTTCAAAAAATGAAGATCATGGCATCCGGTCCCATCATTTCGTGGCAAATAGCTGGGGAAACAATGGAAACAGTGACAGACGTTATTTTCTTGGGCTCCAAAAATCACTGCAGGTGGTGAGTGCAGCCATGAAATTAAAAGATGCTTGCTCCTTGGAAGAAAAGCTATGACCAATCTAGATAGCATATTATAAAGCAGAGACATTACTTTGCCGACAAAGGCCCATCTAGTCAAAGCTATGGATTTTCCCAGTAGTCATGTATGGATGTGAGAGTTGGACCCTAAAGAAAGCTGAGTGCCAAAGAATTGATGCTTTTGAACTGTGGAGAAGACTCTTGAGAGTCCCTTGGGCTTCAAGGAGATCAAACCAGTCAATCCTAAAAGAAATCAATCCTAAATATTCATTGAAAGGCCTGGTACAGAAGCTGAAGCTCCAATACTTTGGCCATCTGATGTGAAGAGCTGACTGTTTGGAAAAGATCCTGATGCTGGAAAAGATTGAAGGCAGGAGGAGAAGGGGTGACAGAGGATGAGATGGTTGGATCACTGATTCGATGGACGTGAGTTTGAGCAAGCTCCAGGAGTTGGTGATAGACAGGGAAGCCTGGCGTACTGTAGTCCATGGGGTTGCAGAGAGTCAGACATGACTGAGCGACTGAACTGAACTGAATGGGATTGTACAATCATCACTGATGTCCATTTCCAGAAATTTTTTTTATTACCTCAAGTAGAAATTCAGTACCCATTAGATAATAACTCCCCATTTCCTCTATTCCTTCCCTGTCTCCTAGCTCCCAGCAACCCCCTCTGTAACCTCTGTGCAACCTTCTGTGTCTATGGACTTGCCTATTCTAGGTATTTCATGTGAGTGGAATCATATATTTGTCCTTTTGCATCTCCCCAGCGCTTTATTCTTTTTTAAAATGTTTAATTCAAGGATTAATTGATTCACAATATTGTGCTGGTTTGTGCCATACATCAACATGAATCAGCCACATGTTACAGCATGTGGGATCTAGTTCCCTGACCAGGGATCCTGACATGGGAGCCCGGCATTGCGATTGCAGAGTCTTAGCCACTGGACCACCAGGCAAGTTCTTGCACTTTCTTTAATACCCATCCCCCTTCCTTTGGCCTGCAAGAGTTGGGTTGCATGACTTTGGCCTTGGGGTGTCCCTGTTCCCATCAAATCCCCAAACAAAACAAACAAGTCACTCTTCCTGGTCACGCTGAGCAGGGCTGGGAGGACACCCCGCCCTGCATTTTCCTCTCTGCCTTTGAGTCCAGCTGTTCTCACCCATGCCCTCTGCAGCCCTGGCTGTTCTTGCTCCAGGTGGATGGGGAGCACAGAGGGCGCCATGAGCCTCAAGTTTGTCCCAGCAACCCCCAGAGAGTAGGGTCCACATTCCTCGAGCAGCTCCAAGGGGCCCACCGTGAGATCAAAAGCTCAACGAGTAAGTTGAGGTTCAGTAGCAGAAGCCCTGACTTGAGGTGAGTTGGAATCAGACCAGCCCGGTGGGACTGGAACAACCTGATGGAACCTGAGGCCTGTAGGCACCTTGTCTGTCCAAGTGGGTGAAGTCAAGGAGATGCTGGGGAAGATGCAAAATGTTGCTAAGTTTCCATCCTCTGCTTCTCCTCCCTCATCCTAACACACACACAAACACACACACTTGCTCACACACCGACACTCATGCACAACTGCCTCAGGGACTTACATTTTTAAGGCCTGAGGTGAGAGGTTTACTCCAGCTATTAATAAAAAATGTGTTCTAGAAGACCCTGGGGGTTGTGAACAGTGGGATCAAAGGTGACCCTGAGAGGGAGAGAGGGATTTTTCCCCAACTTCCTAGAGGGGACAGCACTGCTCTGGCCATTCAGCACACTGGGGACAGTCCCCGGAGGCCTGTGGGCAGTGGCTGCGGTGGCCCTTGAGGTGGGGAGCCTTGAGGGCCTGTGCTTTCCTGACGGCGTGCGGGGGGAGGGAAGAACGGGGGAGAGGAAGGGCTGGCAGCTTGTTGTTGCGTAACCCCCTCTCAACCCCGCCCCGGGGACTCTTCAGTGGCCTTCCATCAACTTTGCCCCCAGTGGGAGACCAGACAGTAAATCCGCTTTGTCCTCAGACACGGAATTTATTTTCTTTCTTCACTTTCATTCTGAAACTGATTCTTCAATATTGAGAATTCTCTACCTGCCTTTCCTCCAGCCCCCTTGGTTAGGGGAGTACACAGCTGCCTCTGTTGGGCAGGGGGTTCCGGGCAGGAGTGGAGGAGCCCCATGGAGTCCTAGTTCTTTAAAATTGGAGGGGTAAACGAGTCTCCTCATAGATTTGTGGAAATACTTAAATGGGAAAAAGTTATATGTGCGTGTATGATAAGTATGTGTAAACATACATTCACCACATATGTATGTATGTGTATGTACATGTACCATGTATAGACCATCTGTGAATGTTTGAGGCTTAGCATAGCACCCAGCATATCATAAGCCCTAAATGTTACTATTGAACTTCATCATCACCTGGGACTTTCCCTAATGGTTGCAGTTCTGTGCAGGTTGTCCGAGTAAATGGAGTGTGACAACGAGATAAAGTGACTTTAAAATCTCTTAGCACTCACATATCCAAGTGAGTGTGGAGCAGGCAGTTACCTAGAAACCTTCATTCATTCATTCATTCCTTCAGGAAGTCATAGAACAGGGTGGATTGTATTCTCTGCACGTTCACAAGCACCAGTCTCAGATGGCTGTCTGCACCATGGAAACCATGGTTGCTCAGGCTGATTCATGTTCCAACTTTTGCAAACACTTTCCCTCTTTTGGGCTTCCCTGGTGGCTCAGATGGTAAAGAATCTGCCCGCAAATGCGGGAGACCCGGGTTCAATCCCTGGGTCGGGAAGATGTCCTGAAGAAGGAAATGGCAGCCCACTCCAGTATCCAGTATTCTTGCCTGGAGAATCCCATGGACAGAGGAGTCTGGCAGGCTACAGCCCATGGGGTCGCAAAGAGTTGGACATGCCTGAGAGACTTAACACAACACCCACCTCTTACTTAAAGGGAAAGCGGAAGCTTTCGGATGAGAACTGTCACCTTCCCAGTCTCTTCCGGACAAACCTGCTCCCCTGAGCTCGCCTCACCCCTGCTTTTCCCTGTGGAGAAGTCCCTCCCCACTGCTCATTTTGTTTCCAGCCCAGGAAGCCGAGCTGCCCTCTCTTGGTTATTTAAACTTTCCCTGACAACTGGCTTTAAACACCCTCAAGTCTTTCAACACAACAACAGAAAAGGAGAACAAAAATGTGCTGAACCTGACTTCTTTTTTAACCCACTGTCACCAGCACGCTCCCCAGGTGTCACCAACACACCCACTGATGAGACAGCCTCTGCCCTGGTAGGGAGGGGAGAACAACAATGCCTGGAGTTCAAAGCCAGGAAGACAAGGTCAGGGCTTGCCAAGAATTCAAGTTTGGTTTGATAAGGGTATCTCAGGTGGGTAGTGAAATCAGGTTATGATGGATCAGTTCAAAGAGCCGGACATGACTGAGTGACTAAACAACAATGTTGGATCAGAATCCCACAGTCCAGGCTGGGTGGAGATGGCAAGGTGAGGGGACTGAAAAATCTTTAGGGACAAATGGGTGATGCTTTTCACAAAACAGCTGTCTTGCGGGGGAGGTTTCCGTAGGAAACACTTTGCTTGGGAGGACAGTCCCCTAAGAGTAAAGAAATGCCAAGACAGACAGTGGAAGGGCCCCATCTTGTGACTTGTGACTTCAGGCAGTAAGGTGTAGTTTCACTTCCCTCTGTCCAGGCTGAGTGCGGGTAGAAGGTTTGGTTCTCAGCCTCAAACTTCTGCCCTAGCTCCTTCCTCCTATTCAGGACTCCACTTCTCAAAAAAACCAAAAAAACAAGAAACAAACAAAAAACTCTTCTCTGCCTGCTGATGCCCCTTCCTCCCCTCCTAACTCATTCCTGCAACCTGCCTTGGGAAGCAGGACTCACTGAATCAAGCCTGGATGCCACAGAGGCCTCATTATCTCCCCATCCAGTACCGGAGGTCAGTGTTTGGGGATAATTTGGGTTTAAAGAAGCAGCAAGGCACCCAGTGCCCATCTGCCACCTCTCCCAGATCTTGGCTCCCCAAAGGGAAGTCAGCACCAGTGTCTGACCAGCAGTGGGGTCAAGAAAGGAGCGACTCCCTGGGGGTGAGTGGGGGAGAGTCAGTGAGTGAAATGCCAAGGGAATCAGGAGGACACTTCGGCTGGAACGAAACAGACAGGCTGGGAGCAGGAAATGGAATCAGCACAAGGTGCATTGTTGCAAAAGACACTTTCTTGTCATCTCTCTGAGTCTCCTGAGATCTGAACTCATGGCTAGGGTCCATTGTGGGCAAGAGCAGGCGGTCTCAGCCCTTGCCTCTTACTCCAAGCTCCACAGCCCAGGGCCTGGCTGGTCTGACTCAGGCCAAGCTGGTAAGTGAGCCTGGAACGCCGCGTGAAAGTGACCCAGTGGCCAAGCGCAGTGCAGGCTTTGCTTCGGGGGTTCAGTGAGCAGAAGGCCCTTCCTTGACAATATCCATGCCCCCACCTCAGTCTCAGGGGGTAAAGTGCTGGCTTCATGTCTTCTTTATTTTTCCCTCTTTAGCCTTTAGGAAAGTGACCTTGTGCAGGAAGGGGGAGGTACTAGGAGAGTGTCTGAAAGTCAGGGTGAAACAGGACTCCCGGGTGTCACTGGGCTTCTCCAAACTCCTTCCAAGAGGTGACTGACCCCCTTCCAAGAGGTGACCACCTGCCCGGCCTCCACCAGGTAAGGATGTTCCAGAGCTGGGCCCTGCACCCCGCCGCACTCCTTCACATACACCTTGCTCTGGCCTCCACCACCACCCTCTTCTCCCCCGGCTGGTGGCCAAGGCAGGTGGCTCCTTACTGAGTCTCTGGTTGGCAGCCCCAGCCCTCCCCTGCTCGCCTTGCTCAGAGGTGTTCCATTTCCCCTGGATTTCTAGGGAGCTCATCCACACTCTACACCCCTGACCGTAGATAGCATGGCCTCCTGGTCCTCTGAGCGACCATGTAACCCAGCTGCACCCCAGAGCTCTAGCAGCCAGCTGCCCCATGGGATGGGGCTCGTCTCATTGGACTCACAGGGCCTCTGGTTGATCCCTCCACCCCCACCCTCTGCCCGCTGCCCTCCCATCACCCAGCTCCTCTGAAGGGTCAGGAGCAGACCTGCCTTTACCCAGCTGCCTGAGCACAACAGTCAGAGAGGTGTCCCTCCCTCCACACTTGTGCCTTGGACACAATTTGGTGAGTGAAGCTACGGCTGAATCCCAGCCTCCCAGCACCTCCTCAGCTGGGCATCTGGGCAGGGTGCAGCCACACAGCTGTGCCCTCCATGGAGACACTGGGTCACCTACCCTGGGGACCCAAATGAGTCGGTGTACCTTCCTTCTCTGGCCCTAGACGTCATATCTGTGCTCCAATAGCTTCCCCTATAGAGCAGGACTTTTTATTTTTTGCTAACTCAGTTCAGTTATAAAATTGATGATGGCCATTTATGGAGCACCTACAGGTGTTTCTTGTAGCATCTCATTTGATCCTCCCGAACCCCTCTGATGGGAGGTATTAAGGCCCCCTAGCAGGCCGGCACCCTCCAGTGGCTGGCTGGAGGTCCCCTGGCTTGCTGGCCCCAGAGTCTCCTTTGCTTCTCTGCTTTCCTCTCCCACGGTTGCCCCCTCTGGACTTCCAACTGGCTGCTGCTGCTGCAAGTCATCCTTTCTGATCTGGGCCCCCCTGTTTCTGGCTGCTGCTCTTCCCAGGAAAATCTCTCTTGCCTACCGTCTCCCCTAGAAAACTGCTCCTGCCTCTTCCTAATGGGCTTCCCTGGTGGTTCAGACAGTAAAGAATCTGTCTGCAATGCAGGAGACCCAGGTTCCATCCCTGGGTTGGGAAGATCCCCTGGAGAAGGGAACAGCTACCTACTCCAGTATTCTGGCCTGGAGAATTTCATGGACAGAGGAGCCTGGGGTGGGGGGGGGGGGCTACAGTCCTTGGGGTCGCAATGAGTTGGACACAATTGAGCAAGCACGTGTCAAGCATCATCACATGCTGAGAACAACCTGCCCGGAGGGTGACTCTTTCATGATGGTTTATTTGACTCAATCAATGTTTACGTGGCAAATTGCACATGCCAGGTGCTCTGCTAGGTGCGTAGGGGTATGGCGGCAGATACCGTTCCTGCCTTCATGATCCCTGTGGTCTAGAGTGACAGTCAATGACCATGAAAGGGCCTCTCTGCACCTCTGATGAGGGCCCAAGTGCTGTACGTGACGCTTGGGGGCTGAGGCACGAATCATCTCCAACAGCTCGTAACCCCTAAGCCATTCCTTGGCTCTACCTTGTGAAGTGGGTCTCGCCGCCAGCTGATGGCCTGCCCGAGGTGAACTTGGCTGCGCCTCAGAGAAAAACAAATGTGCATTTCCTAGCCACACACTGACCGGAGCGACAGCAGCCAAGGAACACGTGGAGCAGAGGGGCAAAGAGAATTTGTGTTAATTGTACCGCCTTGTGGAAAAGCCACACACATGTACACAATGAGAAGCTGATGGATTGAACACTGGTGGACACTCACCTGGACCATATTACCCTCACTGTGATCTTCTTACTTTTCTTTTCTTGATTGTTTTTTATGTGGGCCATTTTTAAAGTCTTTATTGAATTTCTCACAATATTGTTTCTGTTTTTGTTTTGTTTTATTGGCCACAAGGCACGTGGGATCCTAGCTCCCCAACTCAGGATGGAACCCGTACTACCTGCATTGGAAAGTCGTCTTAACCATTGGACCACTGAGGGAGCCCCCTTAATTCTTAAATTTTTTTGGCCCTGGTCATGTTACTGCAGGAGACCCAGTTTCAATCCCTGGGTTGGGAAGATCCCCTGGAGAAGGGAATGGCTCCCCACTTCAGTATCCTTACCTGGTGAATTCCATGGACAGAGGATCCTGATAAGCTACAGTCCATCGGGTCGCAAAGAGGTGGAAACAACTGAGCAACTAACACACAGACACACACACACACACACACGTTACCCTCACTGTGGTTGTCAGCTTACCTTTTTTTTTTTTTTTTTTTTTTGGCTGTGCCGCACCACATGTGAGATCCTAGTTCCTGATCAGGGATCAAACCTGTGCCCCCTCCACTGGAAGCATGGAGTTTTAGCTACTGGACCACCCGGGAAGTTGGGAAGTTCCCTCTTCTGCTTACTTTTCAAAGCCTCTTAGCTCACCTGTTGCAGAAGCACATTTCAACAAAAGCCCACAGTCCCCCAGAGCCCAGAACTCTGTCTCACGTCAGCTATGAAGGCTGCTCACACCTGAGATGGTGGCTGTCTGCACTTTGGGGCTCCAGATTCATTGTCCCAGCTGCACAGAAGGGACGGCGGCCACCGGGGGGAGTGTGGGGAGAAGACCCCACCTCAACTACGAGGCCTCGAGTACAGCAGGTCTGGAGTGACCCCTGAAGTCACCTGGCTCTGGCATCTCCACTTTCTCAGCTTCTCTGTTTTGATCCCTGCTTGAGACAGCACACAGCTGGTTGGGCTTGCAGCTTGGACAGACCTGGCTAGGAAACCTCCTGTCTTGGCCACTTCATGCTGGGTGACCGGGGGCAAGTAAAATCAAACCCTTCAGAACCTCAGTTTCCTCATCTCTGAAATGGGTGCATGATACCTGATTTTTACAGTTTGTTTGTTAAGTGTTAAATAAGAACATGGACTTTTAAGTGCCAGGCACAGGGCTGGCAGGGGCTATGTGCTTGGTGAATATTCAGTCCCTTTGACAAACACTGTGTCCAAGGGATTATCTGTGTCTGGTGGCTCAGATGGTAAAGAATCTGCCTGCAGTGCAGGAGACCTGTGCTGGGAAGATCCCCTGGGGAAGGGAATGGCTGGCTACCCACCCCAGTATTCTTGCCTGGAGAATCCCATGGACAGAGGAGCCTGGTGGACTACAGCCATGGGGTCTCAATAAGTTGGACACGACTGAGCGAATGTAGTAGAAGTTCTGGCTTCTCACCAAGCTGTCCAGGTGCCCCAGTAAGGAGTCCTTGATTTCATCCTGTCTTCTTGATCTTCACTCATTAAACCAAACAAAGGCTCTACTTGCCCACCTTGTCCCCTGTGTGCCAGGCTGTTTTCTGAGTGGCAATTTCTGACCCTGTGGTCTTGGGCATTCCAGGTCCCTCCCGGGCTGTCCCGCGTCTGGAGCAGCCTTATTGTTGGGGGAGTCCGTGCAGAGAACAGTCTCATGGCACCTGGAGAGGTTGCCTTCAACTTGCCTCCAGTGGTCTCACTTCAACCTCTGGAAACCTCTCAGGGGCCAGCCCTGGGGTCCCTGCTGTCACCTGAGTTTCCGAACCCAGAGTAAGACACATCTTAAAAGATGATACATGGATCTCAAAAATGAAGTTCAGTCTGGAAGCAAAATGGAGATCTATTTATCATAACGTCCCGAGGCCATGACCGTACAGCTCCCCCACTCTGGTAGAGAGGGCCATGCTCCAGCACCCTCAGCGACCCTGACCCTCCACCATCGCAATGTCCCACCTGTGCGTGGACCCAAGAACCTGAGATACAGACCTCACCTCCGTGTAGCGGCCCTAGTCAACACCCAATACAGCGATGCCTGTAAGCCGGCTTTGCGCTTGAGACCTACGATCAGTTTAATGGTAGCTTCATCCACTTAAACATCTCTGGCCACACGTATCCCCAGAAAGGTAAGATGAAGCATAAAGGTAAACAGGTGTCAAAACTAACTCTCAGTGAGAGACTGGCACTGTTCCTTTTGGTGTTCAAAACCATCTATATTACCTCTGTTTTAGACAACCCTGTACATGAGTAGTATCTTATTTTCAGGCAGAAAAAATTTATTTCCTATGCTTATATTAGGGCTTCCCCAGTGGCTCAGCTGGTAAAGAATCTGCCTGCAATGCGGGAGACCTGGGTTCCATCTCTGGGTTGGGAAGATCCCCTGGAGAAGAGAACAGCTACCCACTCCAGTATTCTGGCCTGGAGAATTCCATGACTATAGTCCATGGGTTTGCAAAGAGTCAGACATGACTGAGCAACTTTCACGCACATGCTTATCTGGAGGAATTGTACCTCTCAGATTTTAATGCATACAAATGTCCATGGAACCTTGTTGAGATGCAGACTCTGCATGTGTCACAAGGCCCCAGGGGATGCTGACGATGCTGGTCCTCAGACCACACTTTGAAGAGCAAGATGGAACTAGGAGATGATACACAGCACCATCCTCACCCAGTGTGTCTTCAGGGTTCAGCCAGCCCTGTGTTTGCAGACTTTCTAGAATATCTATTTAGAAGTCTTGATGCAGTGTGGGTTGTCAGAGCTAGCACTCCCTGCTTGGACAAGTAAGAGGACCATGCCCTTCAATTATTATTTTCTTACAGCTTTTTGGCTCATCTCTTGCCCTGTACTTGCCCTCCTGGAAGCCACGTTTACATTAGTGTGCTGGGTCACAATATGTGACCCAGACTTATTGTGTGGATGTTTCTTCCCCCGTCAGGCCCTCAGCTGGGACCTGGCCAGCAACTGTCCTGACAGCCCCAAGATGAACTCAGGCTGCCTCTGGAGGAGGGGAAACCCTGGGCTGCTCCCCCAGAAACCTTTCTCTTCAAAGAACTTCTATTGCTGGACAGATACTGCAATTAATGGGTAACGAAACTACTTGGCTTAAACCTGCTCTGTCCCAGCCCGCCCCGCCTCCTCACGTACAGATTGCAAGGGAGACGAGAAGGCTTCAGGGAAAATGAGTTATAGAGGCAGCCAGGGTGTGGGGGGGTGAGGGCTGGCCATTCAGCACTGCACCGGAAATGTCTGGGAGAGACAGTTCAGCAGTGAGGGCAGTAAACAGAACTATGTGCTGCTGGGGTGTGCAGGGGACTGGCACCTTCTGCCACCCCTGTGCCTGCATCAGCAAAGCAGGGTTGTGCTATGGAGCAGTTTGTGTAGGGTAAGGGGTGGCCCCAAATGGGCCTGCTGGGTGGACCACAGAGCAGAGGAGTTTCTGATCAGGAAAAAAAGCCAAGGAAAATAAACAGCTTTGTGTTGTGTGTGGGTTGCTTGTTTGAGGGTAGGTTTGACTGAGAAGGGGGGCTGCGGGTAGAAGGGAAAGGAGGGACCCTGCTAAGTGTCACTGGACTGAGGTTCCAAGGCTTTTAGGGGGCAAGAGACTGGCTTAGGGACAGGCCGGCTGCTTTGCTGGCTTCCGGCTCTACCAAGATTTCACAGTCAGTCCATCAGAAGAGAGGCAACCCCAGTCCACCAGGCCAGGCTGGGGAAACTAAGTCAGGTGGAGCAGCTTCCTGCTGTCCCGAGGGGCACGTGGCTGTGGTGGGCTTCCCCACACACGTGGCCTTGGGGAAAACTGCAGGGGCTTCAGGCAGCCCTTCAGGGAGCAAGGCCTGCAAGGGGCCTGAACTTGCCCCTGTGGTGGAGGATGGAAGGGGGCAGAGCCTCAGGATCTTCTAGAATAGTCTGCCTTCTCTCCACACAGCTCAGGCAGCCCCCACGACTCTGCACCAAAGGCCGAGGATGGGAAGTGACTGAAAGGCACCAAGTCACAGGGAGGCTCCAGCAGTGACCCTGGTTCTCCTTTCCCTTCAGAAAGCTCATGAAATGGACAAGAAAAAAAAGGGGGGAGCTCTGGACAACATCTTTCATTCTAAGCCTCCCTCCCAACTAAATTAAAACCAACAAACTCCTCACTTAACAGATCCACAGGTCAAAATAAACTTTTAAATAGTCTTAAAAAAAACAGACCCACAACTTTCTAAGTCTACCTCCTAAAGGCAAAATCCAAACTGCCCCAAACCGAAGAATGTTAGCCTGACTTTAAGCCAGGGGGAGGACGCAGGGTGTAGCCCAACACACATCTGGGTTGGTGGCCCATGTCACCCACTGGACGTCCCCCCAAGCTTGGCAGGAGACTCAAGATGGATGGATGGCAGGGAGCCACCTGCAGGCAATTTCTAGATGCTAGTGACCTGGCTTCTAAGTAAGGCCTTTCACCTGCAGGCCCTCACTGCAGAATTTCCCTGGTGACTCAGATGATAAAGAATCCACCTGCAATGCAGGAGACCTGGGTTCAATCCCTAGGTCAGGAAGATCCCCTGGAGAAGGGAATGGTTACCCACTCTAGTATACCTGGCTGGAGAATTCCATGGACAGAGGAGCCTGGCAGGCTACAGTTCATGAGATTGCAGAGTCAGACATGACTGAGTGACTAACACTTTCAACTATTATTTGACAAATCGGGCCAAAGAGGTCATGTTCATCGTACCTCCCGACAAAATCATCTCACAACTGAACGCAGTTAAGGAAATCTGTTTGCAAAATACTCAGGACTAAACTTGGTTACGTGTCCTGTTTGCTCTCTCCCCCGCCACTCCTTGAATTCCTCCAACCTGTGACTGTCAGATTCTTTCAAACCCTACTAAGTAAAGCTGGGTACACTCTGTTCCCCCATCATCCCTTCGCTGGGGTGAGAAGCTCCGAATCTGTGTGTGGGATTGAGGTGGAGCTGGTGGCAGACGCATCCGTGATGCATGGTGAGGGGTGACTGCTGAGACTTACGTGTCTACACATACACGGGTATAGAAATCATAAAATATTTTAATTCTCTTTTTACAGGGCCACAGGCTTCCTTGTGTCAGGTGAATCCCAGCAGGCACCTCTCTCTAGCAGCTACGAGGTGATGACATGTTGAGAGGCCTCCGTGCAGGTTGCCCCAGTAAATCGGTACAAGTTGCAATGAAACCTCTGCACTAACAGCCCTGGGGACATGGTGATGCTAAGAGTTGCTGCCTCTTTGATCGACTCAACCTCAGTTCAAGAGGCAGTTTGTCCCAGATGTCAAAAAGTCTCAAGACACCAACCATGCGTCTTATCCCTATTCTGGATTTTATAAAACACTTTATATATATATATACATATATAGATATAGATATAGATAGATAGCACAAGAAATGTGCCTGCGATGCACTCTAACATAGAGCACAGGAATACACACCACGGAGCCCAGCCCCAGCCTGTCCACAGGAGAAAAGTGCAAACGTTCAATGCACACACAAGGTGTGACAGTGGAAAGGTACACAGTGCCGCACGCCACACCTTTCCACGCAGCCCGTCTGACAGTGACAGCTTGTCGCCTCTGTCCCGTTAGTGGTAATGGGGGCAGAAACAGAAACGATACGATTTTCTAAGGGCAGAGGATATCCATCTGGTATGGAGAGAGTGATGGTTATCCAGAGATTTATCTAGAAACAACTGCCGAAGGTCAGTATGACTCCAGGCTGGGGTCCGCAGGTGGGGCTGGCTTTGCAGGTGGAGGCTGATTCGGCATCTCTCAAACACACAGACTCTCACGCTTCTCCATACACTCCTCCAAGGGAAAGTGCACTTCCAACAGCGGCTACAAAAATAGATTGGCACGCTCTTTCGATACAGTGAGGGAATTTTCTAGAAGCTTTCCCCCTACTTCCATGAATTCTCTTCCACGATCTGCTCTAGGACTTCGCACTCTGAGTTGGAACGGGTCCGGAGAGAAGGCCCTGGACCACGCCTGCAAGGTCTGGGTGTGGCTGCGAGGGAGTCCCAGTGGGGCCTCGTGCTCCTGCTGGGGGAGCCATCTTCTGAATGGGTCTCCCCTTCCTGGTTGAGCAGTAATCAGCTCACTGGCCAGATGGAAGACTCCCTGAAAAGTTCCCGGTACGGCTTCTGTACAGAAACAAATGTTGAGAGGAAAACAAGTTTGCTATGTCGAGTTCTAGTTCTGCATTTCCAGTAGTATGGTGCTACCACCCCGGGCTCAGAAGGAATGGTCCCTGGCCCTCCCAGGAGGCCTGTGCTAGGAGCTCTGGACCAGGCGTCTGTAGTGAGGCATAACTTCGTGCTCTGGGAGGTGAAGGGCAAACTCCAAGGCCACCAACACTGGGAACTCAAAGGCGATCAGTTCTCGTCGATTCAGCCGGAACTTCTCTTCCAGTTTCTGCAACAAAATGTAAGAAAACCAAAAGCCTTTTAGCCTTGAAATAAAAATCCTAGGTTTTCTCCATGTGTAGCCCCTATATCCATCAGCCAGCATTTATAGAGAAACCTGTTATGGGCAAGACCGTGGAGGAAGAAAGGGAGGCGTCAGCTGTGTTTCCTGCTCGCAGTCCTAGGGCAGAAGGACTCATACCTCCTGAGGATCCACAGGCTGCCCGGAGCCTGGCATACATCCCATGATTTCATTTAATCCCTCAATAATCTTACGATGTCAGTGGTTTTAAAAAATATTTATTTATTTATCTGGCTGCCCCAGGTCTTAGTTGCAGCATGTGGGATCTAGTTCCCTGGCCAGGGATCGAACCATGGCCCCTTGCTGTGGGAACATGGAGTCTTAGCCACTGGACCACCAGGGAAGTCCCTGGATAAACAGAATTTTAAAACAGGCATTCGTATAACTGTCCAAGAAGATCAGTGTTTCCTTGCTTTGATGACATTCTACTTTAAAAGCAAGGACATCAAAAAGTCTACAAACAATAAATGCTGGAGAGAGTGTGGAGAAAAGGGAACGTTCCTACACTGTTGGTGGGAATGTAAACTGGTACAACCACTATGGTGAACAGAACGGAGGTTCTTTAAAAAACTAAAAACAGAGCTACCATTACACCCATCAATCCCATTCCTGGGCATATACCCAGAGGAAACCATAATTCCAAAAGATAGATGCATCCCAGTGTTCACTGCAGTGCTATTTACAATAGCTAAGACATGGAAGCAACCTAAATGTCCATCAGCAGAGAAATGGATAAAGATGTGGTACACATATTCAATGGAATATTACTTAGCCATAGACAGAAGGAAATAATGCCATTTGCAGCAACATGGGTGGGCCTAGAGATTGTCTTATTGAGTGAAGTTGGACAGAGAAAGACAAGTAACACATGATATTGCTTGTACGTGGAATCTAAAAAAAAATGTACATTATGTACAAAACAGAAATAGAGTCACAGGTGTAAAAAACAAACCTATAATTACTGGGGGAGAGAGGAAGGGAGTAATACAGTGGGAGATTTTGATTGACATATACACACTACTGCATATAACACAGATAAATTACAAGGACCTACTGTACAGCACGGGGAACTCTGCTCACTGCTTCTATAATGGCCTATATGCAAAAAGAATCTAAAAAAAGAGTGGATACTATATATGTGGGGGCTTCTTAGGTGGCGCTAGTGGTAAAGAACCCGCCTGCCAATGCAGAAGACATAAGCGAAGCAAGTTTGATCCCTGGGTCGGCAAGATCCCCTGGAGGACAAAATGGCAACCCACTCCAGTACTCTTGCCTGGAAAATCCCATGGACAGAGGAGCCTGGTGGGCTACAGTCCACAGGGCTGCAAAGAGTCAGATACGACTAAAGTGACTTAGCATGCACACATGCACAAACTATGAATATGTATAACTGATTCACTTCGCTTTACACCTAAAACTAACACAACATTGTAGATCAACTATACCCAAATAAAAATTTTTTTAAAAGTAGAAGATATTACCACTCAGTCAAGCCCACGCCCTTCCCCAAAAAGGAGGTGGCCGAGGTCACAGGAGGCCAAGGTGTGAGCCAATGTGACTGATAGACACTGTTGGTCACCATGCCCACAAGACCCCTGGCCATCATAGTGGCTCCTGTGGCTTTTGAGAATAATCTCATCCCTCTTGGTGCCTGAATATGGATTTTTATGGCCAGACCCAATACTAGGGATCTTCAGTCTTGTCAAAGGGACCCATCTCTCTGTTCTAAGATAGCCCAAGATGTGGGGTTTGACATTTGCTTCTGCAGAAGGGCCGACATCATGGTCCTGGTCTCTCAGCTGGTACTAAGGATCAGAATTCTCCCAGGCAGGGTCACCAGTCAGGCTTTTCTGAGAGACCAATGCTAGCCTGGAGCACATGCTCCCACTCCAGCCAATCAGGACTCAGGCCACTTACGTCAATTAAATGCTTGACTTCATGCTTTTTGAGGTCGCTTCCGATTTTGGCTGCTAAGAGCACGCAAGCGCCAGCACAAAGCTTCCGGTTCTGTTTGTTCAGTTTTCCCTTGAGGGCGAGCTTCTCAAAGTAGACAAATGCCATGGCCACCGTGGGCTCCTCGAGGCCACAGTCCTCCTGGGCGAGCTTCCGCATCTCTCGTTTCAGGCTACAGAAAGGTGGGAAAGAGGGAAGAGTCTTGTTAGAATGTGGAGTTTCGGGGGACTGCAAAGAAAAAGACTATCCTGTCTCGAAAGCATCTCCTCTTTCTCAACCACAAAAGGGTAATGTGAAATGGGAGTCGATCTCTATAATCAAGATAGTTATATGTGGCCAACACACTTAAGAGATCAAACCAGTCAATCCTAAAGGAAATCAACCCTGAATATTCATTGGAAGGACTGATGCTGAAGCTGAAGCTCCAATACTTTGGCTACCTAATGCAAAGAGCCAACTCATTGGAAAAGACCCTGATGCTGGGAAAGATTGACGGCAAGAGGAGAAGGGGGTGACAGAGGACGAGATGATTGGATGGCATCAATGACTCAAGGGACATGAGTCTGAGCAAACTCTGTGAGATAGTGGAAGACAGAGAAGCCTGGTGTGCTGCAGTCATGGGGTTGCAAGGAGTCGGACACAACTTAGTGACTGAACAACAACAGACTTAAGTCGCTGGGACTTTGAACCCTTCTCTGTTGGTCAGGCTGTATAGACCATGTCAGTTCCAGACCATGGTGAACTCAAGTGGATGGCTGAGGGTCTCGAAATGGAATAGAGTCCGTTCACAGTGACAGGAGGAAACAAAGGTCATTCCAGAGAGATAGTCACTGAGATAAACTAGGTACTTGGTATCAGGTCTGCTGAAGATCACTTATGGCCACTAACTGTGGCAGAAGAGGGATTCAACTAAGAGTGCAGCAACCAGCGGGGGGACACATGTGTACCTATGACTGACTCATATTGGTGTATGGCAGAAACCAACACAAGATTGTAAAGCGATTATCCTCTAATTTGTTCTTGTTCAGTTGCTTGGTCATGTCCGACTCTTTGCGACCCCATAGACTGCAGCATGCCAGGCTTCCCTGTCCTTCACCATCTCCCAGAACTTGCTCAAACTCATGTCCATTGAGTCGGTGGTGCCATCCAACCATCTCATCCTCTGTCGTCCCCTTCTTTCCCACCATCAGGGTCTTTTCCAATGAGTCAGCTCTTCTCAGCAGGTAGCCAATAATAAAAATAAACAAATTTCTAAAAAAAGAGTGCAGCAACCAATCTTCTTAGGAGAGATGCCTGGCCAGCAGACCAAGTATATGAATACTTAATTTTTCTCACTTCTTGGCTCGGAACATGCCAGAATCAAATCAGTATTAGGATATGTACTCACATGTACATTGGCACATGTTCCAACACTGTATTTGTGTATAGTTTAGCCTCCATTACCACACACACACACACACACACACACTGAAATCTTGCTGTCCTGGCACACAGTCACCACAACACAGGTCAGCTTCTCTCCAGCCCAGCAAGACCCGCAGATGTGGGTCACCGCAAGGCTGATCCAATGTGCTGCAGGGGAAATTGGGGCCTGATTTTGCTTTGGCTGTTTTTGCTGATGGATTATAGATAGGGCTTGGCTGTCATCGCTGAGAGGATGACTGTGGGTAGAGAGTTATCTCAAACCCTGTGATGCCAGCTCTTTTCTGTTTCGCCTGCATTTAAGGAAGCTGGGGACCGAATGTTTCCTATTCTGAGTTTTCCATAACATAGATCTTACTGAGCTGTGAGCCACAGACAGTATGAAATGACTCCTCCATAAGCAACCTCCTCCCCCACGCCCAGATCCTTGTCAGCTCCTGTCCAGCCTCCCTCGGCTCTCACACTTCCGGGGGCTGGTCAGCCAGCATCGGACGAGCCTCTTTAATTAGAGCTGAACATGACCTGTTTCACTTCCCCAGAACAACAGGAGAGCCAGAATACAAAGCATGAGCTCAGGGTGTGCTGGGGGAGGGGCCTGGGGGAAGTTCAGGTGGGGGCCGAGCCCCAGCGTGTGTCCGACTCTTTGCGACACTCTGGACTGCAGCCAGCCAGGCGCCTCTGTTCGTGGGATTTTCTGTCCCCACCTACCTCCGGATTTTGCTGAGTGTTAACTTAATGTGAGGGAACTTCTCCTTGAAGGTCTCATTCATGTCCTTCTTGAGATCGGAGGGCTTCACGTAGTCAATCACTGTGGTCTGAAACAGATCGGGCCACATGAGTCACTACTTAAAATATGGGTCATGGGTCATAATCACGTGCAAGTCACAGCCAACTTCTAACACCCCCACCACCAGCAACGGGGAACCCAGGCCTGAGCCACCTTGAGGGCTCTGCCGGATGCAGGAGCCCGTCGGGGCAGGACCCCTTCAGGTGGATGGAAAAGAAAGCCCAGTCATCAGCAGGCGACATTTAGAAACCCTGACCGCCAGAGTCAGTGCCTGGCAGGCAGTCACGAGGTTTGTGATGATGTGAGCAGGTTCAAGCAAAGAAGCTCCATCTTTCATTGGGTGCCAAAGCCAGGTGAGCCCCCAGCGAGGATATTCCAGGGGCTGGAGGTGGGATGGGGGATGACTGGATCTCACCCAGTGGCAACCATAGCAGCTCTGCTGTTTTCTGTCTTATATGTAGATACGTGCAATGCTCCTTTCCACTTTTTTTTGGTGTGTGGGATACTAGTTCCCTGATCAGGGATGGAAATTGGGCCCCCTGCAGTGGAAGCATGGAGTTTTAACCACTTGAACAGGGAAGTCCCAGCACAACACTTCTCTTGAAAGAAGCCTCCCACTGCCAAAAGAAGTTTGCAAGTGCCTTCCAGCCACCCTAACTTTATGGAGGGGGAAACAGAGGGTCAGAGAGGTGACCAGGCTTGTCCCCACTGAGGAAAGGCGCACTGCTTTCCTGTTCTGAATCAGACTGAAAGAGTAGTGGTTAGTAGCAGCCGGGAGCAGCTTCAGGCTGCTGAAGGTGGGAAGGGTTGGGGACAGAGGCTGGAGGCTCCACATCCAGCGAGTCAGGCAACTTGCAAAAAGTGGCTTAACCTCCCTGAGCCTCACCCTACTCTTTGCTGCACAAGATAAGAATACCTGTCGGGCTGCTTCACAGGTTTCTCTCAAAGATCAAACAAAGAGAATCCAATGTATCTAAAGCACACTGGAGAATTCTATCAAGACGACAACGGGGAGACAGCAGCCAGCTGGGCTGTGCTCCTGTTCCACTGAGTCAGTGTCTAAGGGTGGGCTTGCTCTCAGCACTGTGATCTTGCCCAGGTTTTTATGCAAATCAGATCCTCCTTTGCCTCACCTGCAGTGTTAACTTCTGCAGGATCATCTTCCCTAAGTCCCCTGGTGGACTTGGCTAAATCCCAGCCATCACCCTTTGCTATACACTATGGCTCAGATAGCCAATCTCCTTCCACACGCCATTCTGTCCTTCCCGATTCCTTTGCAGCTAGGATTCCACACACAATTCCAGGTCCTCTGGGGTGATGCACTGGTGTCAGAAAGCAGAGTGCAAGCAGAGGCTGGGCATCTATTCTCTCTGCTGACAAGAGGAGTGATGGCAGAAGCCCTGGAGTCCCAGTTTCCATTTTGTGGGTGTGGACCACAGCAGGGCAGCATGGATCCAGAGCTGGTAGCAGTGGCAGCATCCTGACCGTGGAGGTGGCAGAACTGTCATCTCTGGAGCTGACTACTGGTGCACATTCCCCTGGTCACATGGTTCTGCAGTATGGTTTGGAGATCATTCCTGAAATCCCAACTCAGGCTGTTCCATCAGCCTCCCCAGTGACGACAGGCTGTTTAGTACCCTGTAAAACATGCTTTTCTTCTTAAACTAGCTTGAGTGGATGCTGTGCTTCATAACTGAACCAGCAGACACTGTCTTTATTGATGGCATTTACCCCTTTTGTAACAGGACATCTTTGGGGGGGGGCATGGGATGACAGCAGAGTTGTTTCCCCTAAAGGTACTAATGTCATCTCTTCACCACAGCGCTGGGGGCCTCCCATGCCACTTCCTGACCAGCCCTCGCTTTAAAACAACCCAGCGAACAGCAAGAACCCAGCCCAGCTTGCAGCCTTATAGGTGGGGCCAGGAGGGCTCAGGCCATCCCAAGCCTGGACCTCCAGGAGAGGTCCTTTATTTTTGTACACAGCCTCACTCTAGCTCTTGGGGTCCAGAGCTAGGGGCTTATTTTTCCCGGCGGCAGGATGAGTGGACATGTATATTTGTTTCCATGCTGGACGCTTGAGAGGAGGGTAGAGGGTAGGCCAGTGAGCTGATGCTATGAGACCCTTGGCTCAGCACTTGGCCCCCAGTGAGGGCTGCACACGATTAAGCTCTCAAATTCATTTTCTCGGTGGCAGAATGCTGAATCCCAGCTCTGCCACCCGGAGTTGCAGAGGTGGCCTTCTCTGCTGCCTTCTGGGGGAGGTTTCTAGCCACTCGACATCTGGGCACTAGTGCAGGCAGTTTCAGCTCTCTGTGCCTGTTTCTTCCTCTGGCTTCTCTGTCACGTGCTTTATGTTGATGGTTGCAGGGCACCAGGTGTGCAAGCTGCTCGCGATCAGGTGCGTGGGGCACGCAATTGTGGTGGCTGAGTGGGCGGCCCCCAAACTGACAGTCTGCTCCCAGGCCCTTGCTCAGACAGGACCGTGCACACACAGTATGTCTGTGGTCCACTGTTCCAGACCGGTCAGGCGCCACATATGGGAAGACTTGCTCAGAGCCCAGGAAGATCCTGCAGTCAGATTTCAGAGGACGACCAGGGCTCACTGTCCTCAACTCTGGTTCCCTCGAGGGAACACTTTCTGGGAACATAGCAGCTATGGCTCCTCTGCGTGGTCCTGTGTGTCTTGAGGGAGCCTACGACATTCTCTAGAGGCTGACCTCCCCACATTCCCTCCCCTTCCCGAGAGACAGCTGTCTTCTTCCCAGTGATGGGGGTGAGCCGAGGGGGCAGTGCTCAAGGCTGAGTTGCAGTGTAACCCCAGCCACTCACTTGTTCTGGCTTGTATGTGTATGGCATGTGTGTGTGTGCACACGCTCAGTCATGTCCAACTTTGCAACCCCATGGACAGTAGCCTGCCAGGCTCCTCTGTCCTTGGAATTTTCCAGGCAAGAATACTGGAGTGGATTGGCATTGTCTTCTTCAGGAGATCTTCCCGATCCGATCCAGGGATCGAACCCTTGTCTCTTATGTTTCCTGCATTGGTAGGCGAGTTCTTGACCACTAGCGTCACCTGTGAAGCCCAAGGCTCAAGAGAGAATGAATTAACCGGGAGGCCCACACTTCGTTCCAAGTCTCCTCTCTAATTGCATGGTTTATGAAGACTCGCACTGTCTGGGTTTTGCCACTGCACGTGTGTGCCTAGGAATCAAAGTGCTAGTAAATGGGCTGTGGGCCCCTCCTGGCCTGGGACAGAGCAGGTGGCCACTGCATTCAGTGCCACCAAATTCCTGGCCAGGGGATTGGCCAAGTGCAGGGGTCCTTGTGGCCCCAGCAATGGCCAACAGCTGGGCCAGGCAGGCTACATGAGGGACAGGCAGTTCCATCCTTGGCGCCCGCAATCTGCAGAGGAGGGGTGAGATGGCTTCCGTGTGCTTTCTCACAGCTGCCTGGCTGCAGGGATGCTGTGTGCACAGATGCAGGAAGAAGAGGGGAGGTCAGCTGGGAGGAGGCTACCATCCCAAATGCAGAAGGTCCAGGGGGATGCAATTCAGAAAGGAGCCCTGCTGGGCCTTCCCTGCCGGGGACAGTGGCAGAGTTAGGGGGGCCAGCCTGGAGGCTGATGCCTGCACCCCTTCTGAGATAACAGGCAACAGCAGTTAGGCCACAACCTAGTGGTCTAACCTAGCTAGAAGCATCTACCACATCTACCGGAGATGCCGAGACACCTTTGCTTTATTCAGAAACAAAGACTTGACTCATCCTGAGAGAAGGGAGGGAGCCTCCACGGAGGAGCTGAATGTGGGCCCGGTTCTGGCCCACGGCAGCCACCATGATGCCCCAAGGTGGAGGCCTCTCGGGGTGGGGGTAGGGGGCAAGCGAGGCAGCAGGAGTGTGTCAAGGAGGGCACGTGTGCCCCAGAAGCAGTGCTGGAATGAGGGGCTTGGAGCTGACAGGTTGCTGGTCTGATTCCCAGAGAAACAACAGAAAATGTGCTTCCACCTGGGGCCTGGTAGGGTTCTCCTTCCTTCTGCCTGCATTTCCAAGCCTCACATCTCCCTGGGAATTCTTAAGGCAGTTCTGCAAGACGTGAGCTTGCAGTCGACTCTGCTAGTGCTCGCCTTTGGGTCTGAGGAGCCCCCGGGGGCAGGAACATTCCAAAGGGGCCAGGTTCCAGCCGCAGGGCTGCCTGTCACCCTGGAGACACGGGGAGCCTGGGGAGCCGTGTAGCCACCCCTTCACCCTGAACCTCGCTTTCCAGGGCCTGTGACACGGAGGATACAGGCAGTGATGGGTGCAACTCCTTCGACACCTAGAGCCATGGCCTCCACGGCACTAACCCGCCGTCCACCAGGCTCCGAGCCCAACTGGGCATCGGAAAGCAGACGTGACGTGCTCGCTAAGGAAAGCAGAGCCCCAGCCCTCCATGCAATCTCTAAAACCACACACAGCCAGGCATTTCAGCTGTTCCCTGTTTACTCCTTTCCCCTGTGCTGTATGCTCTGTGCTCGGCCCCGTCTGACTCTCTGACTCCATGGACTGCAGCCCATCAGTCCCCTTTGTCCATGGGATTCTCCAGGCAAAAATACTAGAGTGGGTTACCGCTTCCTCCTCCAGCGGATCTTCCCTGACCCAGGGATCGAACCCACATCTCCTGCATTGGGAGGCAGGTTCTCTCTTCCATTGTGCCACGAAGGGAGAGGAAAGCAAGTCACAAAGAAACTTCGGGAATGAGTGCACGGACAACACGGCCTGGGGCTGCATTTGTCGCTATTTCTAACCCACCGATTCCAAACACAGGATCCTGGATCTAACCTCTGTCTCATCCCCTAAGGTGAGCAGCTCTTCAGGTTCTCTCACTGAAATGAAATGCGTTGCTTCAAGGAGAGCCACACAAGGAAAGCTGCCTTTGTCAGAATTACACCATCATGTGGACTGGGCAGGTGTGCAAAGCATGTCCGCAGTCGCAGATATGTGACGGGCATTCACGTGGTACCACAGAAACTTCTAGAGTCCTGTCTCCACCCAC